CCTATCTCACAGGCCTCTTAACACCTAGTTTATAGCCTGAGGAGTCAGGCTCTATGGGCAGAAGGTGCGAATAGTCTATTGACAACAATAGTCTAGTTTCTGGGAAATGACATGGAAGGCTATAGAATACAGTTTTGGGTTACACCCACCATGATGAACTGATCTCAGCTGTCCTAACTAGGACATGTCTCAACAGGTTTTTAATTAAGTTTCTGTGTAGAAAATGCTTTATTTGGTGCACAGTTCATAATTTTAAAACATTTTCAAATATTTCATAATTAGTAACAGCAACAAATGTCTCCACCTGCGGTGACTTTTAAAAAGCAGAGATGTAATATTATAACTTTACCAACTTTTACAGACTGCCATTTACCCAGCATGTGTGATCTTTATCATGAGCAAATACCACACAAAATTCCCACCAATTTCAACCTAAGTTGCATCACTCGCTCTGAATTTACACAGTTTTTCCAGCACGCGCATTTAACATTTCTAGTAGTCTTTGGCCTAGAAGCTCACAAGACAGATGCACAAGATCCTCCAACCTTGCTTATGACCATAGGAAACATCTGCTTCTGCAATCCCATCTGACACAGTGGGAGATGTCCAGAAGTACATAGCTTCTTGAGTATTGGCCAGCAAAGATTGGTAAGAGTTGCCTTAATACATTTATATGAAAGAGATTTAATACAGCTATTTTTTAGCAAAATTCTAGGTATTGTTTCCAGCTGATACAAGTGAATAATCATGGCAAAACCTTCTTCTCCCAACTGCATGCAGAAATACACTGTTAAAAAGGTACAACCAAAGATCAGGAATAGAAAATTTTGAATTAAGTTCTCAACTACCATATAGAGCACAGTAATATTTGACCTCTTGGATTTATTCACTGCTCACCTAAACCATATATTCTTTTCCTTTTTTTGTATTTCCCCTTATGGTCCCTGGCAGAGACAAGACATCAGGTTAGAAAGCCCTTTGAGTGATACAGAAGAGGCATTTAATGCTCCTTGGCAATCTTGTTATTATACATAGTTGTACTTCCACAGCAGGTAAGGTGCTTTGCAAACAGTATTACTCAAGTGTTTCCAATGGGAGAAGAGATAGTAAATCTACTTCCCTAACTGATACCTCAAGCCAGATGTTTGAGTTGCACACTGTTCTGCAAAGCCCTGAACTACCTACCATTCAAGTACAAGTTGCCTCCACTACAGAACAGAGACAGTGCTTAATAATCACATTTGGCAGGCTAAATTAACATTTGTAAACCCTTTTAATGTGCTACTAAGACAATGTTTCTTCTGTGTTTCTCTGATAGACCTAATGATGGTATTGCAATCTCTAATGGTAATTGTTTTCATAAAGTCTCCTGTCCTTTCCCTACACTTAGAACAGTTATTCACAGAAGCAATTTTCCTGTATTTACATGCAAACTCAAGAAAAATTTATTCTTTGAATAAGAAGTGAAAACAGACAACCCATGTGCAAAGCTCCAGTGCATCACAGTCCAATATAAGGATGCAGGTGATATGGATGCACATTAATTTCTCTTCCCTCACAAAGCAACTGTTGGCACTATACCATGAAGAGGACTCTTGTCATGTTCAAATCCTTGATCAGAAACTTCATTTTCTCTTAAGATCTGAACATGGGGAGAAATAACCCCAGGTACCTTTAAATGCTGGGAGAAAACAATCAGAAAAGTAGCTTTGCAGAAAAGAACCTCAAGATCCAGTGTCAGGACCTGAGGGAACAGCCTGAAGTTGTGTCAGGGGAGGTTTATGTTAGATATTAGAAGTTATGTCAGGGGAGGTCTTTTGGTTGGCCACTACTCTTCAGACATTTTAGACACTAACACCAAAAATCTGACTTACTCTAGCAAGTCATATTCTTGCTGGAGTATTCACATATCTTATTGGATGAGACACAAGTGTACATTCATCCCACTGTACAAAATGTTGTCACAGTGCCTTTGCTACAAAGCACACCAGAATAGGCTTGGTACCCCTTGCAAGATTTCAAACATATCTTCGCTGAACAAGAAAAAATTACTTCAGACCACACAACATTGTTGTCATCTATATTAAGAAGTTAAGTTTGCTTCAGATCATTTCAAGCTGTAAAACATAGTGTGTAACTCATGGCAATCTCTCTGACAGTGGTTATACAGTTTCATGAGTCAAAACAAAGGACTGATGTCAGCAAAAGAATTTTATCTGCTGGCAGCACTCAAACCAAGGTTTCAATACACACATACAGAGGTTTATGATCAAAGAATAATCCAAGTCATGATTTATTGTTGGCTCTTAGCCTGCAAGGTCAAAAATTAGAAGTTATTTATTCTGTGGCCTGCGGGTAAATACAGAAGTAACAGTAAATTACTTTTGTATCAATGAAAAACACTCAAATGCTTGATAGCAAGCAACCAGTCTCAGATTTAAGTTACACTTGAAAATGGGAAAACAAAGACCTTCTTCCTTTTGTTTTTCCAGCTCTATGAATACACCTCAATATTTCCCTCAGGTGCACCTTTCTAGGTTTAATAATGTAAATAGGTGAATTTAAAAAAAAAACAAACAAACAAAAAAAACAAACAAAAGAAAGCTGTTAAGTTCTCACAAGCTTAACTTTGAATATCCTACTTTTCTAAGAAAAATACTAGAAATAATTTTTGTAGTTAAATCTGTAATACCCCTTTAATTTCGACCCTTTGAAATATAAAAAAAAAAATCTTTATTGATAGACTGTCTTTAGACATGATACTGTGAGTTAGACATGGAGTCTGAAGCCACAGACAAATTCTTTTTTTTCTAGGTAAATACTTCTGATATTACTAATATAATACTTCTGGGAATATTTCTGCAGTAATGGTCTCTTTTCTCCACAAACCAAACAAAGTTACAGACCATGTAGCTCTAAACTGCAAGCTGTAGATGTCATATGTGAACAGTATGCCCCATTTAGTGAAAAAAACTTAAAAAATGCAAACGTTCACAGCAATTGTATTCACTACTAGCCATAACATTACAGGAGAAAATTAGTCTATTCAGAATTAAATTTGAATGGAGAGCAAACCCTTGAGCGAGGCCATCTGGGTTTGGTTCTTACCCTCCAAAATATCTTCATAAAGTGCATGTACTCCTTCTGGCACAATGACAGCCAAGGCAGTCCCACATAGCAGCCCAGCACCCAGAACAGTCACCAACTTCAACCTCTCCTGCAAGCAAGTACAAAACAAGTATCATCTTTAGGAATAAAAATGCTTTCTTTAATCTCCCTTATTAACAGAGGTTGGGACAGGGGGTTACTTGTTACATTAGTATTGACAATTTGCAATTAAACTTTAACAACAATACCTAAAAATGGTTTTACAGTATGGCAAAGAATAATAGTTTAACTCATATTTTGGGAAGAATTTCTACAAGATTAAAAAACAGACATAGTTTATCAGTACTTGTACTATTACTTAGGGTTATCTTCCTAGTTATATTCTAATTTGGGGCAAAAAGCTTAGAGACTTATCACTCCTCCCAAACTCACTATATTATGTTTTATCAATAAAACTACCAATTCATTTCCTCATGACAGGCTTAAGTCAAAGCCATGTACTAAAATCCAATTACATGAACATCTAATAGACTCTAAAATACAACAGTTTGCAGAGGCCACTTCTCACAATTTCTGTAAGAGCTCCCCTCATATCACATGGAGCAATCAGGGGAGTCTAGGTCCTCATAACAACCACGTAGCACATATTTTGTGGCAGAGCCATCATCATCATCTCCCATGCTCAATGCTACCGAAATACAAACTTTAACTACTGAGGACCTGGACGCAGAAGTCAGAGTCTGATTAATGGGAAACCACTTGCCACATACCCTTCTTGTGCCATCCATCCTCCTTTGTGCACCATAATGACACAAATCGTTCAGTCTCACCAAAACAGGCAACACTTGCACAGAAGAAGTAGGAGGCTCTAGAGAGATGCATAGCTAACCTTCTAAAAGCAGGCCAAATGTGGCCATAAGGAAACAACTGCAGCATTACTGGGGAAAATTCAAATAGTAATATGCAAGAGATGAAAACACCTGTAAAGTTTCTGCAAACATGCACCTTATAGTGCCATATATAATAACTATACTTGGTAAATTGTTATACAGTGGCAATCTACGTTAAAAGATAACCTTCAACATCCACTTTTCATAATCATTTTGCAAAAACATAGCATCTTACAAGGGAAAAAAAATTATTTTTACCTGCGACACTATAGTATCTTTTGCATACGTTCATAAAAAAAGGGAAAAAGTGTCAAAAGTAATACTGATTTCTTACAACTGCAAATACAGAGTACTGCTTGCTTTCCCTTGGGCATCTGTGAATTTTGAATATCCATGGAAATAATACACACTAACAAGTTAGTGTTTCAAGATAAGACTCCATCTCCTTTTCAGTACAAAATACTTAGATGTGGCAAATACAGAAATTTAATAACAGCCTACACAGACAAGCAAAAGCAATATAGTTTTATCCAAGAAATCAAACAATTTCAGTGAAACCCACTTGCGTGTCTCTTGTTAAAAAACAAAAGCAGCAGAGTAAACAGTGCTAAAAATCCATGGGAAAAATCTTAAATTCCTCAAATTAGCAAGCTGTTTCACTGCTCAGTATTTATTTTAAATCTACATGGCACTGAAACTTTTACTGGAACATATCAAAAAAACTCATGCCTACTTTCACAGACAACACTGCTGGCCTCTGTTATATCACCAAAACATTCAAATTGCTACAACTCTTTTTTTTTTTAAACTTTTGCGTTTAGACTAAAACTTAAGACTTAGCCTCAAGAACTGGTACAGTGTTGTTTCTAGTCCTAAATTAGACCAACAGAGTCCTGTAAGTCAGGATTAAGCTGAAAGGGTACATCTGCACACAGAAGTAAGGCGAAGCTCGGTACAGTCTGCACCTTTTTACCACCAATGTTTAGTCATACCTGGCTTTGCCAGTTTTATACTTTCAAGGATATCCTAATCTAATTACAATAATAGAAACCAGCATGAAATCAGAACACAAGTAACAGGTTCAATGGCAAAAAACTCATCTGAAGGAATGTAATAACACAAATGAATAATTTCACCGTTCTCCAGCATCTGGAGTATATTATGTATAGCATTCACTTTTGTTTTCAACTCAAATATTATAAATGGCCAGTGGGAAGAGGCATTTTAACTTGGGCTACCTGCAAAACTTTTGCAAACTATAGAATGCATAGTCCAACCAGTCATTTCAGTTTGAAATTGTCTTTGTTGCAGAATCCTAAGCAATCACTTTTAACAAAACCATTCTAACTTCTAATTATACACTTCCAGGATTAGCTAGGATTTGTATATAATTTGCCGAGATATTCTTCTCCTCTTTTAAACCAGCATTGCATGCAAACCCTTAAGACACCCAATTTAAATCAAGAGTAAAACTGAGTCAAGAATTTCTGAGAACCTAAGATACTACAATAAACTTGATTGCACACATGTGCATTGATGGTAAAATACCACACACACAAAAGGTTAATAAGTACATGGTTACTGCTTATGAAGAATTTTGGATCCACAACAGATCTGTATTCCTGCACTGCTGAAAGCCTTGAGAGATTTAGGAGACCACTGATTCAACGATATAAAAAAACCACATAAAGACAGATCAAGAACCCTATCTTCAAACAACACTGAATATAAAGTCAGAGAAAACAGGTGACTATTGAACATATACATGACAAAATGCAAAATTAAATAAAAAAAGAAACATTATTAGCATGCAAGGCAGTGCTCTCAGCAAATTCACAAGAAAACCCTTCACAGGCTTCAGGGCAGAAGTGACTTTTGAAGAGTGAGATGCTGAAAGCAACGACACTGAAGACACATAAGGGGAGGTCCATCAAAGCATCAGAGGAAGCACTGGCAAAACAGAACTCTGCAAATATTTATGTGAAGACTTCAGAATACATTGTTAGATTTCAATTCATTTAGCTGACTTGTACTGTTCCTGAAATGAACAGCCTTTCCTTCCATGTTGCTCAGGGTCTACTGCTCCCAAAGCCTCCTAGAAATAATGGGACCAAAGGACAGGTGCAACCCACCCTCTGACTCGATGGAAGAAAAAGTAACATCTCTTCCAGCACCTTGCTTCCCAAAAGCAGCACTGCTTCCAGGAGAAACAGGAAACCTCCCATAAGAGCACTCTTACTACCTTAGAACAACTAAATTCTCACACCATACCTCTATACAACAACCATCACTTAGAAAGAGGAAAAACCCCTCAGGCACCAGAGGATATTAGGAGACTTCCAGAGACTGTAACAATCATCATCACCTCAATGACCAAATACACTTAATGATGAAATCCCATACTGTTTTGAAAACTCACCCAACCTATGAAAGTCTCACTCTCCCTCAACAGTACCTTATTTATCCAAGATATTTTTTTTCCAGAAGAATGCTTTGAGTTACCCGGGGCAGTAACTTGAACTTGTATTGTGATCAAAAAGCTAAGATTTAATTTTCAGCATTGCAAGCTGTGAACAAACTTGTCAGTCAAAGTTTTCTGATAACATTCTTGGAATCGTTTTTGAAAGCCTTAATTTGAGTAGCCCATAGGCACATAAGAAGAGATAATCTCTGACTTCAGCAGTTTCTTACACAAGCTTCTAATTCTAAGAATAGACAAGTCCAGCTCCTATTCAGGTCCTTCCATGCTGAGACTGTGTTGCACCTGTAGCAGAGATGCTTGACTCGAATTTGGCATGTTTAAATGGCTTTTATACACACTCTGAAACCAACATAATTTTACACAGCAACTTTGAATGAAAATTAAAATCGCACTCACAACTTCCTTAAAAACCTTTTAAGGTTACAGCATTGCCCCTAACAGCGTTGCCGGACTTCCAAAAGGACAGCGTTAACCCCTACTGGGAGATCTCCCTATCTGGTTTCTCCCTTAGCAACCAACGAGCAGTTCGGCGGAGCCGTCTTACCTCGGAGAAATTAACTGCCAAGGGGATAATTCCTGCCACATAGCAGGCAACCAGCATGGCCAGGGACAGCAGGCAGATGGAGGGGAAGTCATCCATTTCGCCGCTTTCTGTGCGGTCCCTTGAAGTGAAATTCAACAGCAACTTTTCCACCTCGCCCGGCCGCACGCCTTAGCCCGTGCAGACACCGAGCTCCCAGGAGAGGTTCTCAGCCATGTCTCTGTCGCCCGGCGGCTCCGGCCGGCTGTGCCCCCAGCCGGGGGTGCGCGGGGAGCCCTAAGCGCCGGGGCGGGGGGGCTCTGCCCCCTGTGCGGGCAGTCGCGGCCTCACTGAGACAGCGGAACCCTTACCCGCACGCGCGCTCCATGGGGAGCGGAAGGGGACAGGGAGCACCCAAGCCGCGTTCTCAGCGGGGAGAGGGAGGAGCTTGCGGGACGACGCTTCCTGCCCCGCATCCCGCTGCCCGGTGGCACGTCCGATACTTCCCCTTTCGGCCGGGCCGTCGCCTGCTGCCCACCGCGCGCGCTTGCCCGCCCCAAGGATGGCGGGCGAGGCCGGCCGGCTGGCGGGAGAACCCTGACGCCGTCAGCCCAAGATTGGCCGCGCCCGCCCGCCTCGCCCGCTCCGGGGAGGCTCCCCGCGGCCTGTGGCCGCGTGCGCGGCCGCGCATCGAGCGGCGCTCTGGCCGCGGGTCGGCTCTATGGTGTCGGACGTCTGGCGCGACAGGCGCTTCCGCGGGCGTCGGGCCTGGTGGGGGAGTGCGCCGCGCGCACTTGCTGCCTGGCAGTGCTGAGGGAGGGAGCCGCCATGGTGAGAGCGGTAGGGACTACTGCGCTGGCTGGGACGGACTCACCGCGCCCGGCAGCAGCTGTAACTACCTTCCCCTCCTTCCTCCCCTTCTTTCCCTCCCATGGGTGGCCGCGCCGGCAAGGGCTGCGCCGGCGGTGCGGGCCCGCGGGCGCAGCACGGTTTTGGCGGGCAGGGTACGAGGCGGGGCACACGAGGCGTGCAGAGGCAACTGCGTGGTAGGGCGGACCGGGGGCTCCCGCCTCCCCCCGGCAGCTCAGGCCCCTTTCTCAGGGCGCCGCTGGAAGCTCGTCTCTTTCCCTCGAGTCTCGCTCGTCGAGCGAGTCTGCCTTAAATGGCTGATTGGCGCTTTCCATGCTGCTGTCCCTGCTCCTTCCCTCCGGTCGGAGAAGGGAAAGGCGGGAGCGTGCGTTGGTGGGCTGTCGGAATGGCACGCTGAAGTTCGAAGGCCTCCCTCGTCGTGGTTTGTTGCCTTCACCTAATGAATTAGGATACGCTGCAGCAAGTTGTTGCCTCACGGCGGGACGAAGCTCCTTCTGGGTCTGCAGCGAAGCTCCATATCTGCCTGGCACTTGATCAAAGCACTTGGCTTCGGCCAGGATGAGCAGCTACAAGCTCTGTCTGTGTTGTCCAGAGTGAAGGGTGACCCTTAGACCACTTTTTCTGCCTAGCAGAGGGAACTAAAAGGCATTTAGGTGTCTGCAGTGTGCTACTGCTAGTTGTATCACTGCACATCTTACCCTTACAATCCGTGTTTATCTTCCTTTTTTATTGTTTTGGAGCCTTTTTTTTTTCTTTATTGTCTAATAGACTACAATTGGTGGAAGCCTCTTTGCACACATGCTGCCTAGCTTTTAAGTCCTTCTGGTTTGGCTGTCGGCCATGTCTTAACCAATTTTACAGGGTTCTGTCTTGAGTAACGAGCAATTTGTAAAGTTCTCTCTACAGGTTCAGAATTGGTATGATATAAACGTATGGTGTCTCATTACGTGTCCTTCTTAACAGCCAGTCCACCTATGCTTTTAAAGAAAATGCAGGGAAGGGTCCATATTGGGCTTTTTCAGTTAACCTGGTGCTAATGCAAAAAGGTTTATGGATCTTCCCTTGTTTTGGTTTTGTGTCACCTAGGCAAGTGGGGCAGGTAATAATAGTCAGAGGAAACTTCCAGCAGGCTTCTGAACTTGTCATTTTTTGTGCCTACGTGGTAGGGCCAGACCAGCAATTTTATCAAATCAAACAATTTCTTTTTTTTTTCCCCTTAAGGTAACATGAAGATCCCCCAAAAAATGTTTGAAAAGCATTAATTCTACAATACAGATGGTCCCAATGGCATTAATTTTAATATTTTCCAGGCCACTATCTGATATGGATATTGTATAGTGTCTGAAGTGATAAACAGCTTAAAGTCAGAAGCCCAAATAATTTCTACTGTGAAGTTCTGAAAGAACTGGCTTAAATGTCTGGCTCACTGATTTTTAAATTTTTTTCAATCTAAAGATTTGGATAATTTCAGAATATATGATTAATTTAATGCTCCTCAGTGACCAGCTAATTAAAATGATAGTGCTGCAAAAATTGCTTGGACTCCCTGGCAAGACAAGCCTGTTCAAGTGCAGTGCACTAGGAACAGCCAAATACCGGCCCCCTTGGGGAATTCCTGTCAAATCCAGTCCTCTGGCATACGTGAGAGTGGACTTAAATGATCTAGTCTCCTTTGTATGATTCTTGTTGTTACAGTGTGTAGCTCTCAATTCCCCTCTTCTGCCGCTTCTGACTGGGAGAAGTCTTGCTGCTTCTTTTACTCCGTGTAACTTTTTCCTGGACTTCTCGGACTCTGCAACTGCTATGTTATTTGAGACAGAATTTAAAGAACTGAAAACTGTTTATTCCAAGCATGAGAACACTGTCAGTCATGGGACAAGAATTCGTCCCGTTTTCTTCTTATATATTTCTTGTAAATCCTAATATTTGCCATTTCTATTTTCTGTCATGGCATGCGATAAACACTGAACTGGTGTCTTCACTGATGCCCAAAGTATGGTTCAGGATTTTTCTGTCAGCAGCTGATTAATTTAAGCCAAATAATACGTCTTACTCTGCAGTTGCCTCTTAGTTGTGTGCTCACCTCTTATATTAGCACTGAAAATGTTGGATCCAATTAGCAGCACTGGAAATGGCCATTTTTGCAGCATGCTTGCGAACTTTCTGTGCTATGCACCTTTTTAATTAGATCACAGATTGTGTACACTTGAAAAATTCTTGCTCACTCTTTGCTCAAATTACTTGCAGTAGCGAAGTGAAAAATGTTATGGAAATAATGGAAGCCCCAGAGTGTACAATCATCTAAGTCTTCCCTGCAGAAGAACAAGCTTATGGACTCCAACATTTACAACAGTTTTCTGTGCCATAATTACTGTTTCAGTAAACTCATTGAAGTGTGAAAACCCAGTACATCTGTTTTGCAGGAAATAATCTTGGATACTAAGTGCAGATTTGTTATATAATTTGTGTTCCCTTGAAATTAAATGAATAACTCAAAATAGCTATTGCTGTTAAAATCTTAAAGGTGAGATTGACAATGTGATTTAGTTGAATCCCCTCCTTGCACTTTAATTGGGGCATTTGAAATCTTACTAAGAGCTTGCATTTGGAATAAAATAAGTAAATGCACTAATGCCGTAGCTTTTATACGTTGACTATTGCTTTGCTTTTGTGTCTAGATAGAAACTACTATTTCTGTGGTATCTTTTTTCAACACAGTAGCTGCTTTACTGGTGATTTTACACATTTTAAAATTCTATAAGGATTGATAGGACTGATTGGAAACAAAAGTTAACACAGCTTATATGAATAGTAAATGATATTTGGAAAATGTGTCCTTGATTGCTAGTTCACTATTTTAATATTATGCTGCTTTTTGGTGCTTCCTTCAGATAAATTACTTGAATCAAACACAAATCATTCAAATTGTGCAAGTAACCTGTTTTCTTGATGTTTGTTTTGTTTTCCAGTCTCACACAATTCTACTTGTCCAGCCTACCAAGAGGCCAGAAGGCAGAACATATGCTGATTATGAATCGGTGAATGAGTGCATGGAAGGTGGGTGAAGACAAGGGGTTTTAAACACCAGTTTTTAACTACCATTTTTGACATACTGTCAAACTTACTCAGTAAGAAAATAAATTGCTCTTCATGTTTTGCAAAGGTAATTCACAAAAAAAAATTTGAAAAAGTGTCTCATGCTTTTAGTTTGCTAATGTTCTAGCAAATGAACAACTAGTTGTTATTTGTTCCTAAAACTTTCTTTTAATCTTACATATTTGTTTTTGATTTAACTAGATGAAGTCACATTCAGTTTGGGAGAGTATGCCATATTCTTGGCAAGGCCATGCAGCAGACTTGCTTCAGTTCATTTTATTGCAGGATCAGCACCTAATTCTCACTAATCTTTGTGGTAGCACTGTAAAGGAAAGATTACTACTGGATCTAATATATTAAATAAAAGATTGTGTGCAGTTGATACATAACTTACAGCCTTTCAGTGTATGTGCCAGAGTAAAGATCCTGTGAGACTTTGAGTCACCTAATGAGCTTGGAAAGAAGATTGACATACTAGAGCTGTAGTTCACTTAACATTAATGTTCCAGGAAGTTTTGCGAGGCAAACAAAAGCATAATAAAGACTGTGTAAAGCCTCTATGCTCACTTTAATATTACATTCTTCTCAAATGTATCTGAACTATTTGTGGGCTAGCTTAAATAAATAAAACTGATTTAAATTAATTGCACTATTTAGGTTTGTGCTGTCAGTCTTACCTCAGTAGCCCTGTTTGACTCTGTGATGAATAATGATCATTCTTATGAGTTCTTCTATTTCTCAGGTGTTTAGTACAGTAGAAATATATGTTGTAATTGCCATCTTAAAATTATTAGGAGTTCTAGGTGTCCATTGGAGCTTACTGCATGGAAAGGTATATATTTGCTAGAGCTAAAACTTTCTCCTCTACATGACGAAAACTCTTTTTTCCATGCATCTTACCTGATTTTATAGTATTATGTTTCAATGCAAATAGCTAGAACAAAAGAATTTCAACTCTGCAAAATCTTGACTGTCTCTCTGTTTTTATGGTATTCATCTCTAAACTTTCCTTATATTTGTGGATCAATAGCTGAAGAAGTTTCAGCAAATACAGTTTTTAACATTGCATTGTTAAACTTGTCTCTCTGTAGGAGTCTGTAAAATGTATGAAGAGCATCTGAAGAGAATGAATCCCAACAGTCCATCCATTACATACGATATCAGCCAATTATTTGACTTCATTGATGACTTGGCAGACCTCAGCTGTCTTGTGTAAGTTCAGTTGTATGAATCCATTTCACTGACTCGGGGAAGTCACAAGTCTTCCCTCTAAACTCTTACGTGTTTTATTTGAGTGTTTTTTGCA